AATAGATAATAAATCTACATCCACCTTTGTAATACATTTATATATGTGTCAAAGAACTTTTAAACTGTAAAAGAAATGAAGTTTTGAAACACAAACATATTAATGATATTCAATAAGTATTCAACTATATATTTATAATTAACAAAAAACTTTAAATTTATAAGTCTAACTACAACAAATGAAGTGGCTTCTAATTTTGAAAAGCAAGTTTTTACAAAAAAACCAAAAATATTCAGAATAAAATCTTACAATTATTTATATTTTAGAATATGTCCCAAAGAAGATTTTAACTACCAAATAAATAGCATCAACTTCAATAATAAGTAACAAACAAGATATCTAGTTAGCAAATAACATTTCTCGAGTTTGAACCTTTAAATCTTATTATATAATATTAATTAGGAATATATTAACCTAATGTATTTTAAAATTAAAAAATCAATATCAAACTTATGAATATGCTCCAAATGTTTTTGAATAGGAACTGTTCAATAAGTCATTAATTATAACGCAAAAGAGAAGATCTATAAAAAAAAAAAAAAACAAAACAAAACAAAACAAGAATAGTAATTTTTACAGTCTTTGGTCCAAAGAATATAAAAACATACAAAAACCCTTCAAGCATCAAACTTTAATTTAATAAATTATTGCTTAACATAGTTATTCGGTCTCATGAAATACATTCATAAAAGATAAAGGAAATTTATTCAAAATACAAGCAAACAAACCAGTTTAAATTGCAAAAAAAATTAAAAATTCATATATCAATCTTCTAAATTATAAATTAGAAACAATGTTTTGGATATTTTAAGGTGTAGAAATGACAACAATCCACCCCACGATGTGGTACCAAATGACTACAATCTACGCCACAAAATGTTCTTCAGCAAAGAGCCTCACCACTGTATATTTCAAAATACAATGAATTCAGATTTGAAGTTAGTGACAACACCAACTCCTTTCCTAATTCCTCCCTCTGTAGTTTCCACAAATTGATATTTTATTTCACATTAACTGGTTGTAACTATCTATTGTAATTTTGCAAAGAAGGGGAAGCGGTGCAAAAGGGAAATGGCCATTGCCACAATGTGTACTGCAGTCCCCCTTTCCACCAAAACTCTGTCATACCAAACACTGTTTTCAAACCAAGTTTTATTTTCTATCCCCTCATTCACAATCAAAGCAAGACGGGCCGCATCCTCAAAAGTAATAACACAATAAAAACAAGCAGAATAATGCCCTGTCATCTTCAGTTTGAAACATCAGGACAATTTCGCACCAGAAATTCAAATGGAATGCGCAGAGAAAAAGGAGGCTACAAGGTGATATTTTAGATTGATGTTATTAACTATTGTTATCTGCGTTCAATTATTCACACTGATGTACATCTGCTTTTGTTAACAATAACAGAAAACAAATTTTAATTACATGTTGGGTTTTACTGACCAAAGTACACCAAAGATTGGTACTTGTTTGAATGTAGGCAATAAATATTGGTTGATAAATGGAGAGTTGATAAATGTTGATGGAATAAACTCATTTGATATAAAAACAAAAATTAGTTAAATGTTTTAAAACATTATTGGTTGTAACAATAATTTTCAATCAAAATTCTCAGCAGGATATAGTTTTGATTGAAAATTTCAATAATTTTGATTTGTTTTTGGCACACCAAGAATACTTAAGGTTACTTTACACTATTGGTCTATCTAATCAGTATTTTAAAAGTTACTTTCTTACACGTAAAAACAATACATATTTTTCAAAACGAATTACAAGTATTCAGTCTATTTCGGTAAATTATATTTTCAAATTACTATGTTTTAAAATAAAAATTCATGGTGGAACATCTTTAAATCATATTTTTATAATTAATTAAAATTCTAAAAAATTAATAATAATAATAATAATAATAATAATAATCACAATAATACAATGAATAGTTAGATTTTAGATTTTGATGTTGGATAACATAAATTTCGATATATATATATATATATATATATTTATATATATATTTATAATTTTAGATGCTAGGGTGTTGGTTGGGTGCATGCCTATGGTGCACATAAAAAATGAAAGGTACCGTGAACATGGTGTTTACCTCTCTATTTGGTCAAAAGAAAAAAACTCAAGAAAATTTGGATATTTGGTTTTAATTTTTATGCATTTGACAATTTCTTTAATATCTAAATTTATTTTACTTTCTTGAAATTTTACTGACCAAAGTACACCAATTTGTCTTAAATGTTGGCATACAATTTAATTGCTTTCAACTTGTCCTTAACTCTCTTGGTACCTTCATTTGTTTTGCAAGATATTTTTGGTGGTGCTACCTTATTCTTGTAAATGAGGAAAAAAATGAGTGTAACATATGAGAGATTTCAAAATGGATGGAAGCATGATATACATTATCTAACTTGGTTAATTTACATTGTATCAATTTACATTACTTAATTAACTTTGTATCTACACCAACCTATAGAGCTCACCCCTTGTTGTCCCCACTTTGACAATGGCTTATGACAACACAAAACCATTGCACACAATTGATAAGTCTCTGTTCACTAGAACATAAGAATAATTGATATTTTTGCCTAAATTAATTGTAAATTAAATTCCTCTTCTTTTTGTTTATCCTTCACAGCTCTAATGAAATATTTTTATTACTTTATTCATATTTAAAAATGAAGTAATTTTTTTCACTGTGTATTTTTTAATTCGTTTATATATATATATATATATATATATATGAAAAGAAAGTAAAAAAGGAAGAATAACAGTGTGATGGGGGCAGATCCAATGCAAAAAAACAGCTATCTTTCTCATTCTCATACAGAGAGGTGGGTGCTGAGTAATGCTGGGGTATACCACTTCATCGATCAGTGAGAACAGATTTCATCTCATGACACTCGCAATTTTCTCTGTTCGTGCATCCGTTTCGATTTCATGGACCAGAGAAGCGTAACAAGTGTTTTATGTCCAATATTTTCACATGCCTTTGAATAAACACCAAGTAAGTTATGCATCACTAGGAGAGATCTTTTGCTTTGAGTCGAGGTGGACAGCAAACACACAGCGCCTCCTCCTCCTCACGCGAGGAGGGACATTGCCAGAGGCACAAGTCATATTATGGTGCTCTCTTCCCCCAGTGGTGCCATGAAGTCGTGACCTGCAATCCAGGCAGGACCCACTTTGCCATGCAACAAACACTTGGAGGTGGCAACCAGCAGCAGCAGCAGCAGCACCACCAGCCTGCCTTCCTGCCTTCAGACCTGGGCCAATGAAGAAGAAGGAAAGGGAAGGGCACAGAGAAAGTGAGAAAGAAGAAGGGGCAAAAATCAGCATGTGGGTGTGGGGCAATAACGCGCATGGGATGTGATGCAGCCCTGACAAGCAAGCAACGGTGTGTGCTTGGCTCCCAACCCCGAGATATTTCTCATACACGACAAAATTAGCCACAATTAGTCAGTCTTGCAGAGAGAGCCTCCATGAATCTGGAGGAGGAGTGCAGTGCTAGAGGATGAGAGAGAGGGTGGGTGACAACGCACCCCCACAGTTAACTCAGTTGGTCAGGAAAGGAAACGAAAGGAAGAGAGCGAGCGAGAGAGCGAGGGATTCAGGGATGCAGGGGAGAGGAGACAGACACTGCAACGACAGTAAAGGACAGGAAAGGAAAGGAAAAGAAGGAAAAGAAGGACTCATCCATCCATCCATTCATCACACTGTACCAACCCAAAATATCTCCACCTTCTGTACCCCCCCTCCCTTCATTTGTCATGAGGGCCAGTTGAGCCCAAACAGGTTGAAAAGATCTCAAACTTCCCCATCCCATAAAAATTTCCAGTGAACAGTGGCGATTCGCAAGCCTTGTGCAAAGCATAATGGGAAACCTTGGAGGTGCAATAGCACGCAGTAGTAATGAGTTGCTAAGTGGCATGATCCCCCCCCCCCCCAAAAGCCTAATTCAGTTTGTTTTTTTTGCATTTCAGGGCTCTAGATGTTCCAGCTGGCCGTTGGAAACTTCACCTCTGCTAACAATCATTCGGTTCACTTACCCATGTAACTGATGAAGATTTCGCAAGCTGGAGTTGCCGTTTTGAATAATCCTGAAGCCTTATTTCAATCTGCCCCTGTTTTATTTTATTTTATTTTATTTCTTCTGCATTCCGAGTTTGTGCCACCTGAGCATCTGACAAGTGAAACGTGTGCGACTCCCCCGCAACATCTGGATGCATCCATGACGTGCCTGCCGGAGTAAGAGTGTTCCGGAATCGCCAGACGTTCGTTGCTTGATTAATTGGCGAACACAGCTCAAAATTGCACAATCAGCGCTTCAGCAGAGCTGATCAACACAAATTCATCCTTCAATATCGGAATTTCTTCACACAACCTTTCTAAAAGACAGTTCAGAAAAGCGCATGACTAAGTTTAAAAAAAAAAGGTGGAAAAAGCCGAAGCAAATTTCGATAGAAGAGCAGTCGTTCGGAAGTGAACCCACAAAGTTCACATTTGGTGCATCGTAGAGGTTACTTTTGGTGGAGAGTGGTAAGGTTCCGATGTATCGAAATAAAATCAGGGGGCTGGTGACAGGCTAATTGGGTTCACAAGTTTATTTGCCACAATCCAATCTGGCGTGGAAATGCAAAGACAGCGTGTACGCTGATGTGAGATTGCACTAACTTCCGAGACGAAATGGCCCTTTATACCCCTGACATGGCCCTCACAAAGTTCAAGAGCAGATTTTGAAGCCTAAGACGGTGACGGAGTGTGGTCAGAACCACGGAAAAGGCCTTGATCTTTTGGATACACGACGGAAGTGTGTCATACACCAGAACTAAAAAAACAAAATTCGTTTATTCTCGTCCACCGACGGTCGGAATCAGATCTTGGCAAAGGGGTCGGAATGGCGGCGAGTGTGAAATGGGGTTTTCGTTGTCCACTTCCATCGTTGAGCATTAAGTGCCGAGCTTTTGTTGCGTCTTCTTCGTCAAGATACCACCCTTCATTCTTTCATAAGTCCGAGGATCCGCTCAGCCCTAGTCATTCTGCTACCGAGTAGCAAACTCGTCACCCCCCCCCCCACGTCTGCTCTCCGAGCCTCTCGTCACTTCTTTGAGTTCTCTGCTCGAGTTTGTGCTCTTTCTCCAGACGTTTTGTAAAGCATCGACGAATTTTAATAAGCCTTCCAGTCTTGTTGTAGCGCATCTGCTGGCTCCTATTTTGGATTTGGTAGCTTCTCACAGTTTTTTTAATTTTCGTGTTTTATTTTACTAGATTTTTTTATATAAAAATCAACTGTTTAAAATCTTTGATTCTTTAGATTCTGGAGCCGACAAGTTGATACTAGTTGGCACCCTGTGGTTGAAGAAGTTTGTCGAGATTAGTGTAGGGCAAGGTGTGTCACATAAGTCAAGGATTACAGCTTCAGTTGGTTCGCATAGCATTATTTTCGCTGCACACTGCCAATAGACGCTTCGGTCCATCTTTGTCCTTGTCCAAATTTTTATTCCTGCTTAAAAAGCATGTGTGTCACATTTCGCATGTGCTTGAGCGTTGATTGTATGTCCTAACAGACTATCGAGAGAGTCTCTTGTCCTTACAACCCGTTTTCTTGTCTTCTGTTTAGCTGATTTGTTTTGTAAGTAGTTGAAACCGGACTAGAGGATAGATGGCGCACAAGGAAGGATCATCGTTATTTGCCAGCCTTGGCGCGGTGTTGAATTTGCCCTTCTCGCTGCACCGGAGCCACGCCAATAACGTGGCATTCAAGCGGCATCCCTTGTTGCAGGAATTCGACACTCGACTTAGGGATCGGTTGGACTCGTTGAAACCTGCTGGTGATGAAAAAGGGTTCTTGAGTATCGATTGGTTTCTTCAGGCCATGTCGGTTGTACTGGCGACCCACGCCAACGTTGAGTCTCTTATCCCGGAGTCTCATCTCACTCTATCCCTTCAGCGAGACGACAAGTGGATCGATGAATACCTTGATGATAGCGCGAAGTTACTCGATGTTTGCAACGTGCTCAAGGAAGGGATTTCTGACGTGGAGCACTACCAGATGTTGGTGCAGCTCGCCTTGCACAATCTCGACAATAAGGAAATTTCTGGTGAATTGAAATACTCGCGAGCGCGGAATGCCTTGACGGAATGCAAGGAAGCTATTAAGAAGAAAGACACAGAGTACAGGCAAGGGTTTCCCAAGTCTAAGCTGGAGAATTGCAGTTCCATGTTGAGAACCATGGGGGAGAAGCTCGTGAATCCGAAGGGCCAAGAAGCCATGAAAGGTAATGGCTTTTTGAATGCGATCTATGGAGCCAAGGTCACGACAATTCTCTTGTGCGGATTGCTTGTCACTGCCCTGGCCTGTAAGCCGAAGCGGCCTCTGACGAGCCTTAGTGTGGCAAGCCACTACAAGTGGTCAGCATCTTTAACTACCTTGCAACAACGTGTAAAGGAGGAGACAGACAAAAGGAAAAACAAGGGTTCCATTGCATTGCTCCGCGAACTCGATAGCGTCGACGCCTCCGTACGACGCCTGCATGAAATCTTGGATCGACATCTGAACGGAAGAGCCTTCCCATTGTCGCGGGAGCAATCGCAGGAGCTGGCCCAAGAGGTAGAATTTTTGCGAAAGCATTCTTCGGATCTTGGGCAAGGGCTGACACCATTGGAAGTTCAAGTGAATGAACTCTTCAAGACGCTGATTGCCAGCCGGCTGGCTCTGCTCGACATCATCAGCAGCGCAAGGACTTGAAAGGAGGTGTTATGGAATATAGTTAAAATTTCGAGCGTCCACCTACCGTCACGCACAACCACACGTCCTCGAGTTTCCATTGCAGCAGTTTTAGGAAAGAGCCGAAGATTTCTCGATTATGTGTAATCTCAACTGCTGTTCAGTTGAGATTCCTGGAAGATTTGCGGTTTGCGGTTTGCGCACTGGAGGCAGAAGCTGAGGATTGGTGCTAAGCAAGTGATGGGTTGTGCGGCCGGTCGGAGTTGTTAACCGACTATATCGGATTTTCCTGCGGTACACTGGCAGAAAGTGAAGCAGGCGGCGACGCTAAAGACCACTGTTCCTGTTCGACAGGATGACTTCGTGTACTGTGAAGATACGCGGATGCAGGACATTGTGGACAAGGAGGTGAAGTTGCTGTCGTTCAATTTGTACAGTAAAATATCGTAGCGCGTGAAATAAGAAGCTTACCAGGCGGCGTAGGAGAGAGTGATCCCCAGTCCAGCGTATGCCCCGAAAACCTACAAGAAGTTGATTGTCATGGAGCACTCGGGGAAGTTCTGAGGTGGTGCCATGCTCGTCATTGGTATCCAGCGGCGGCTTGCTGTTGAGTATGTCAATTCGACCCTGCTAGATGCATTTTCAGTCGGATGAAAAGCTCTTGGAGGAGTTGGAGCCCGCAGCACAGTATGTTGTGCTTATGTATGTAGATAGTAGGTTCGACCTGGCGTAGGTTTCTGAGGCTAGTAGGATCTCTGAGAAGGAGATATAAGTTTTGCTGCGAATCGACCCTGACGGAGATTCCCAGGTGTACCCTTATGTTACAATCTGGAATAAGAATTCGAATGCTGAGCAGTTAGATGACCACGTCTACTATCGCGGTGGCCTGTAAATGACTTTGCCATTGCATGCTTGGTGAGCTTCAAGACAGGAAGTCAAGAAGTGCTGTTATTTTTGATATTGTGAATCACAGCTGACGATGCTTATTTCTAGCGACTTTTGCCATCCAACTTCTTTCATTTGCGTGGTTGTGTAACAACTTACATCTTGAAAGTTCGGTAGTATATCCTGAATAGGTCTATCATCAGACCCATTTGTTAAGCAACGTGTAACTTGGCGCCTCTTACTATTGAGCAGTTGCAGTTGTGTACACGCAGTGTAATTGTGTAAATGATAGTCAGTTGAAGAAACTGCATTCAATGTCGCATCGAGAGGGAAATTTTCCAAACTGAGTGACTTGTGTTTAATCTGCACCCGTGGAATTATCTGGTTTTTGGTTGGGAACTTGTACAACTTGTAAGTATCGTGTTTCAATTAAAGTAATTACACTGGATCGAATGTTAAATTCAATTCTACTCATGTCTATGTCCGTAGTAATTACTCCCGAATCCAAGGAGATTAGATCATTTTTGTGAAGACTTCGCCTCCTGGTTGTATGGAGACTTTGACCACTCTACATGAGCTTAATCCTTAGCTTCATCTTGTGGCTGTAAGTCTTGAGCCTGGACAGAAGGTGATGACAAGTTTTACCGTCCAGATTGCATGTATTCCTGTGTATATGTTCAGAGAATTACCTTATAATGCATCAAAATATATGCTTCCATAAATTCAACTGCATGCAACCCAATCCATCTCAATTCTTTCTGGTGTGACCCTCAAATTGCCCTTCAAGGCTAGAATTTTTTCTGTTTTTCGTAGCCATTTTGCTTGTCACGATTGACGAAAGCGGAGGTGCCAAATCGTTTCTGAACCCGAAATGTGGAACTCTTAGTTTACCACAATTGCAGTTGTAGAATACAGAAAGGATTTCAGATCTAGTTGTATATATCTTGGTGGAACTTGTTTGTTACTCCAACAATTCGCCGCTGCCTGAAGTTCCTCGTGGGTGGTTTGTGTGTTTTCACCGACTGGGTGTACAGCAACAACCACACTACTGGAATTAGTATCAACTGTTGCAAGAGACGCAAGGCTGTGATAATGCGACACAGACAACTTAGATCACAAGGCAACCCTAAATTATCTGAAAACCAAGCTTCGAGGTGGATGACAGTTTTTCCAACTTCGTTAGCCTGAACTGCTGAGAACATCACTGAGAAACCACAAATCCAACAACAGAGATGGCTCTTACCGATGGCCTTAGAGGGTGCATGGAAACCTTCCTTGGAGTTCCATCGGTGGATGATTCTTTAAATCTAGTTGCAGCTGGTGCTGACTGAATGGAAGTTTGGTTCTGGGAAATTAGAGAAGGTGTAGTGATTGTCCGATTCATTGCTCTTGCTGATATCGCAGCCAGTTTCCAGTCCAGCCTTTCCAAAGATGCCAGAATACTCCGCTCTTGATCATTGGAGCTGCTCATGCTGTAATTCTCCTTATCACCAAGAGAGTCATGTAATCTGCAAGGCTGACCTTGCCTGTTCTGGGACACATGCTGCTTTACGGCCTTTGGAGGAGATTGTCCAGGCTGCGAGTTTTCAACTTGAAGCAATGCGTTAGAAGAGTACAAACCATGCTGCTTTGGGTATTTCAGTCGTGCCTCTTCTCTCAAATCCCTGCACCCAATATTCAGATACTTCGACATTTTCTCCGTGCTCATGACAGAGCAGTTTCCATGTTCTCTCATGTTTTCTGCCCTGCTACAATGCAGGATATCCCCATTCGTCGAATGAAGGCTTGACTTTAGTTGCCCTCGAGGGCTCTCGCTTACTTTTCCTTGACCTTCACCTGTCTGCAACAAAACGCGCCTTGTGTGCGTTTGTTGATCATGCAAACCTTTCGTTAGTTTGGCCTTTTCAGGATATGACTTAGCGGGTAACGTCGATCCCATAGGCTGGAGAGGGGTGGTGATTGTGCAGGGAAAAGGTGACACAACAGTAGAATCCACCGGCCGATCATTCTTCAAATGAAGGCATCCTGGATCATCTGTGGATTCCTTTTGTCTTCCTTGCTGCCCTGCTTCATGCTTCCAAGGAGTCTCCCCTACTCCTCCGTGAAATTTTCTCCTTGATGCCACGTCTTCGAAGATATTCATCATTGTGGAATCATCTGTTCCATCAGTAGCGCACTGTGCGGTGGTCGGTTCGTCCTCTTTAAAGTTATCTTTCTTGGATGCATGCTCGACTGTCTTCTCTCCCCTAATTTTCTCATCCTGGATGGATTCCCTTTTGTCATCGTGACTGGTGTTTACTTTCGTGTAAAACACATGCTGTCTCGTTTTCACTTCAATTACACTCCGCCCATTGTGGCCATCATCTGGTTTTGAACTCATCGCGTTTGAATCCTCTGTAGAATTCACTTCAACTTTTCCGCGTTGGTGGATATGGCTCTGATTCCTGCGTGCCATCGCTAACATGCTTCTGTAGTCTAGGGGCGCCATCTTTAAATCCTCGAGACGAGATTGAGCAGCGATGACTTCAGCAAGTAGTCTTTCTGTCTCACATTCACTATCCAGGGATGTGGTAATTTCTTCGTCACATCTCCATGCCTTTTTCTCACAATTTTTTGTTGGTGATAGAAGGGGTGGAGTGTGGCATTCGTCCAGAATACATGACTCGAAGTCCTTGTCTTCCTGCCAAGTTTCGATGGTTGCTGTATACCTTGGAGGAAGATTAGAACGGGTTGACATAATTCGTTGAACAGAACACGAGTTGGAGGAAGCCTTTGTAGTGCTAATGGTTTTATTTTGAGCTTCTTGGAACAGTGCATCTCTGCCAGAGCAAGATGTCATATCCAGACTTCCGCTCTCCATTTGAGGATCTGAGGTAGGTTTCCTAATCTCAGGTTTGAACGATGCGTTCTCAGATGAAACTGATGCCGAAGCCTGTTCTTCTGATGTGACAACATTTGGTATTGTTGGTATAAAAGAAGGCTGTTCTGACAAACCCATGTCGCTAGTTGGTTGAGGGAACTGATGCTCCTTGCAGTCTGAATTAAATGCAACGTCGAAAGGGTCATCCGCATGATCCATGTCCTCGTCCCAGGACAATGTTTCCGTGTCGAGAGAATGATCCGTCATGCTCTTGACTGTTGAATGTGTTGTGACCATCAGCGTTGGCTGATATCCATCTGACGTTGGTGCTAAAACTGCCGTTTCCACCTTCGTGGTTGGGACTGCTGTTGAGTTGAAGGCTCCATGTGGCATGTTTCTCTCGCTTGGCGCATGGAGAAAAGTTCTTGCAGTGTCTGTTACCGGGCCAAAAGATTTCTGGTTGTCTCTGTTTGTTTTAAGACATGACTTGAGAGCAGGGTTGACCACTTCCAGATCAGACGTGGGAGCTCTTGGTGGCAATAATCTGTTGTCTGTTCTAAGACCACTGAATAAATGATCTCTGTAAACTGTAGGTTCGATTCGGATGAGGTCTGTGCCATCATCAGTTTGGGATTTTTCTGACTCATTTGCAAACTCAAGAATCTCATTTTTCAGGTTTTTAAAAACATTCTGCAAAGAGTTGAGATACATGTCCACGCGTTTATCACCCAATTCTGGTTGCATCCCATTGTCGTAGAACTCAAACTCTTTTCTCCTGAGGCACGTAAACAGAACTTGGTCGGATCCTGGCAGTGACGAGGACTCCAATAATTTGAACAAAGAAGCAAAGACGTAGACTAAAAAGTCACATTTATTTTTCTTTCTAACGCAAGTTTTAAGTGAAACACTCGTCGGTCGATAATGAAGAAATACTTTCAATATAAGAGAATGGATTTTTTTTCGAAGTGAGGTGCTTCTTGATGAGAATCGCTAGTCAGGAACCTAGCAAATTGCACGGCTGTGCCTATGAAAACTAGAGGCTTCTGTTTTTTGCTAGATCAAATTCAAAGAATTAAAGTGGAAAACTGAAACTAAGTTGCATTGGCGCACACGAAAAGGGAGGTAGTGCTTACGATGGGCGAGTTTGATAACCTGCATTTGTATGGTTCGTATCCTTCGCCTCCGAAAGAATGCTCTTGGCTGGCAGCTGGCTATGATTTTCTGTTCTCAAGGCTGCAACAGCAATTTCCTTCTCCTTCAACTTCATGAGAGTTTCGAAATCGCTTCGCAAGGAAGCTGACCAAGGAGGTCGCCCATATATTCCCTCCGTGTTGTGCCGTCGCATCTTTCTGAATTGATCTGGATGCTTGGTATGGGGGTTACCAATCGAGCGCATGTACGCATTCAGGCGATTACGCTCGTTCTTTCGACGCTCAAGGATCTGCTTAGCTCGCTGTAAGCTCTCTTGCTCTCTTAGCATCGTTAATTCCTGAAATTTCCTGCAAGGTATATCATGTAGTTTCAAAGAATAATTGGACCTACTTTCAGCTTAGTAAATCTATATCAGGAAATTGTTCTCTTACTCCGGAGGTGAATTGAAAACTCTACCATAATCACCAATTGCTTTTAAAGCATGTTTTGAGTTTGGTTATCAAATCATGATTGGCATACTCTGTGAATTAGCTGTGGAAAAGCACAGTGCATCGTCCAGTAGCCTAAAAGAGCAGAGCGCTAAGATCGTCAACTACAGGTTATCCTCTGTTCTGACCCTTAACAGTTCCTACATTTACGGATGGCTAGGTCGCGGAGAATTGTGTGAAGTGAGTGTAGAGTAATTGTTTCTGTATCCACTTGGTGGTTAGCACCGTTGGAATTGTTCTAACCAGTAACCTTTGAGCTATTTTTCCTCATGAAAATGTTTCTTTTAAAAGTGAACAGTAATAACTTTGGGGAAGGACTGGCACCTTTGTCTCAATGAAGTTACTTTCGCATTAGTGACTCGCCGTCGTTCCATACTTGACCTTAAAGCAGCCAGAAATCCTCCTTTTCCTTTCTCGCATCCCATTGTGACTGACAATGAGTAGTCCTTAACCGATGCAAATTCCGTGCGACAGATACGAGACTCTTTTTTTGAGCTCTTTTCGCAATCGAGAGAGAAGGGTACTGATGGCAAAGTGAAGCCTAACTATCATCTTGAACTGACACACGCCTACATTGGGGCAAATGGTAAAGCAAGGAAAGACATCGAACAAAGCGGACTGGGAATTTTGGAGCGATTGAACTTAACAACAGAGGGGAGTAAGGCTTTAATAAAGAAGTCTTGCGAGGGGCTGCTGGAACAAAGCCTGCATTTGATCGAGCAAAACATGAATCCAATCATTACAGAAAAAATTGAAGCAGAGATGCTGAAGGGCACATTGATAAGTCTCACAGGCAATTGCCAGACGGGACATCGCGTAGCCATGCCTCATGTGTTGAAGGTTGCTCATCAAATGATAAACCGTTGTGAAGTCCTGGAGTGTAAGTCCATCATTCATGGAAAACTTTTCTACTATTTACAAACAACTCAAGCAAGACAAGTTGTACTGCATCAGTAATGGATTTGACAGAAGAGGTGCAAGAGTTGGCTCCATAAGCGCGCAGGGAGAGGCGGCAGAAGCTCGAGAGGAGTCGGAAGACAATGCGTGGTAATCAAAGTTCAGAGGAATTCAGTTTTAACCCTCCTCCGACTGGTTCTTCTGCCCTATTCTGGGCACCAGACTCTGAACCAGGACTCCGAATGGGGATGTGGACCTCATTTAGGGTTTGGCACTGCGAGAATATTCGACTGTGGTATCTTCCCGATGGTGGATGTTGCAGTGATTCCGAGGGGGATCGCAACCGGCGAAAAGTAGAAGCATATTCTGCTATATTTCACGAAGTGCCTTGTTGAGAGAATCTTGCTGTTACAATGTGGGGCCTCCTTCCTGAGCGCTTCGAATTGGGAGACTCCTGTGCTGGAGTTAGACGCTCTTAGTTGCAACAACATTTTTGCATCTGTAGGCAGGAGTATGGTCTGCCATTTGGTCATCTATTGCTAGTGCGTTTGTATTTCTATAGGAAATTTCTGGTACGACAACGGACTTAGAAGGACCAGTTTGTGTCAGAGGAACCCAAACGAATACCACTGATCCAGTTGAGTGAAGCTTCAATTTGATGTTGGAGCGTTCACTTTTAGTGGGGGCTAGGATACGAAATTTGTGCCCAACATGCGGAACAAGATGACAATTTGGGTATAGTCTACTGCAGAGCATTCTTTGCATGTCCTGCGGAACACTGACGGATTTCAACGTGGTTCAGAGGCTTAATGAAGTATAACCGACTGTCAAGTGCATGCAGGCAATTCAACAAAAATGGCGCTGTCTCCAGAGTACTGATACTACCTCTTCAGTCAACTACATTCTGTTGAAAATGCTAGTCTCTGAAAGTGATTTAATTTGAAGAAGGGGGTTGCAACCAGAAGACAATGTTGACAAAACAATGCATTTAAAACAATTTAATGATTTAAATCTTTTTTAAAACTATATACATAGATAGATTATGAATAAGATGTAGACGTTATTAGGAGTAACTGGTTAACCTGCATTGATTTGAGTAAACTGACTGCATAGGCCTCAATTCTGTAGACATTTTGAGATTTTTCGTAATTAAGAATTGCTCCTGCGCAGAGTTACTGAAACTGGAAGTGTAGAATCCTCGAGCCCTTCATCCATCACTATTGCATCACGTGCTCACAAGGACTTTGATCGTGTGAGTCACCCCAAAAAATCACAATATGCTACAGAATATTTTCTACATTCGCCCGTTGGCGAGAGATTTTTCCAAGCTCCCATTGACGTACCCAGAAAGGTAACTGCGTTTCAATTGCTGAACAAAGTATGTTTCTTGGTCCCTGTATAACTTGGACTTGTCGAATATGTAGTTCGTTATCTTGAATCGTTCCACTATTTGTGCTCTTGCTGTAATTGTATGTTAGCTGTTTGGGTCGTTACAGGACATGAAAGACGCAGCCTTGTTAGGTAATTTTCATGACCAAAACAACAAGCATGTTAGACCTTCATTACAGAATGGTACACTTCACTCTGGAGTATCTTTGCTCAATATGATGCATTTGCCTACATTCTTTTGATATGTAGTTTAATGGTTGTCATGTACAGACGCATACAAAATGGCAGACATTAGCATTTGCATTCCGAACACTTGGCATTGTTTATGGGGATCTGGGAACATCGCCATTGTATGTTTATCCTTCTATCATATCTGCTGAAACGCCCAATGAAGATGACTATCTGGGAATTTTGAGTTGCATTTTCTGGACCTTAACATTGATTGGTGTTATTAAGTACACTTTGATAGTTTTGTGGGCTGATGACCATGGAGAAGGTGATGTTTGCTGTTTCTTGACACTAATCTCTCAATCCTATCATTGGATCTATATACAAATACTATATTCTGACATCTTTCTACTTGAAATGTCTATCTCATTTCGACCCCTGTGCATCCACCATTCTTATTGCTGTCAAAGTTAAAATAGCTAATAAGGACTGCTTACGATCAATGTGAGCAGGAGGGACTTTTGCTATGTACTCCTTAATATGCCAGCACACAGACGTTGGAGGGCAAACAAGAAAAATCAGTAAGTTCTCTGCGAATGCTGACAGCCAATTGTCTCATTTCCACAATGGTTTGGAAGATAAAGAACATAGCAAAGTGAGAGAATGGCTAGAGCGCAACAAGTGTGCACAAGAAGTGCTCTTGTTCGTTGTCATGCTAGGGACATGCATGTTGATTGGTGATGGAATACTCACTCCTGCCATCTCGGGTGAGAAGCTGCTCTTGTAAACCTTTAAGTTACATCATTTTGTTTTCTGGTAAAGCCTGAATAATTCATTTTTCTCTACAAGCCCTTCATGCATTCAATTTTTTTGCAACCAGGTCTTGCGAAGACATGAGGTTTGCCAATTGTTTGGTCTTTGGATGCAGTATTATCAGCTATTGGAGGAATTCGAGCTGAAGTGCCAAGCATATCTCAAAGTAAGCACATCTTCATGAATGATCACCAATATGAAGTATGATTCGTACTCCCAATTTATCCAATCGTTAAACATTATCATGTTTTTCTGCGGCTGCAGTAGATTACTTTGGTCTAAGTTTTTAATGTAAAGAGTTTTTCTAATTTTGTTGTGCTTCTTCATCAATACGATGGGCATATTATTTGAAAATAGACGCTTGCATATCCTCTGCATGAGGTCTATGTCGTGTTTAAATTCAGGTTCCATAAACCGACACCTGAATTACTTTCTTGTGTCTTTGACAATCCTTCCGCTTGAGTACCATGACTGTATATATAGCCACGGACAAGCATGCTGCTTTTTAACTACACACTGTTTATTTATTCTCTTTTCAGAATTCCTTATTCATTTTCAGCAAATTGTATCACCCTGCAACACGCACTTAGTTGAAATATCTTGCTCACAGATGTGGTAGTGTGGGTGTCGGCTGTCGTATTGGTAGTGCTGTTCTGCTGTCAAAGTTATGGAACCAACAAGGTTGCGTTCCTATTTTCACCTATTATGGCGACATGGTTATTGACGACCCCTATGGTGGGAATGTACAACATCATAATACATTACCCAACTGTTTTCAAGGCATTTTCCCCAGCCTTTATCTATAGATTCTTTCAGAAAAACGGAAAGCAAGGTTGGCACATGCTTGGAGGCATCGTGCTTTGTATTACAGGTGTGTTATAATGAACCGTTTTATGTCCTGTTTTATTCCTGCGCAACTACATAACAGCGTGCTCATTACATGTTTTAATGCAATGATTAACTCTTGCATTGCATTTAGGAATAAGATGGACTTTTACAGCCGATGGCTGAAAGTATTAATTTGGTATACGATGTGTTGCCAACAGCAGCGTGCAGTATATATATATATATATATATATATATATATATAGATATATATATTGATGCATTCGCCGAAACGTAATATTTCGCAAAATTAATGTGCTACCTTTCTTTTTTGCTGTCCTTCTATGCTGCTATGCTTTGGTATGACACTTTCAGGATCAGAATTATTATAAATCAATTAGATACGAAGTTTGTATGTTCCAGTAACCTAAAGTAATGGTCTTTCTTTGTGCTCTGTTGCTCATTGAAACATTTGGATTTGAAAATGGTTACACTTGCTCTTGATCGTTCACAATTAATCAGTGCATTGTTAATCGTATCTCCAAGTCACACAAGACTGATGGTGATTGTTTAGCAAGCAGGTTGTGAAGCCATGTTTGCAGACTTGGGCCATTTCAACAGGCTTTCCATTCAAGTGAGCAGATCCTTGTCATTCCTCTTAATTGAGCTAAATTTTTCCATGTTAACATTCATCAACTACTTCAATCAGATTTATGAACCACCTAGTTATTTTAGTGTAGAATTGTGCTTCCACTACGTGTCTCTTTTAATGCCCTTCAGTGTACATTTTGAGACAAAGTTGGTAATGTTACTGAACCTATCCTTAGTCAATATTTGCAGTTGGCTTTCTCCTTTTTAGTGTATCCATCCGTGCTCCTTACTTATGCTGGGCAAACAGCATATCTCATAAACCACCCCGAGAACTATTTAGAGGGATTCTTCAAAATGGTACCGGAGCCTGTCTTCTGGCCCATGTTCGTTGTAGCCACATTGGCAGCAATTGTAGCAAGCCAGGGGCTCATTACAGCCACGTTCTCTGTTATCAAGCAGTCTGTAGCTCTTGATTATTTCCCACCGGTGAAGATTGTCCACACTTCGGAGTATTCTGAAGGCCAAGTCTATTCCCCTGAAGTCAACTATGGGTTGATGGTATTATGCCTTGCTGTGGTGTTTGGATTCAGAAGTGCAACAACGATCGGCAATGCTTTCGGTAAATGAATTCAGCTCTCAAACAGGGTCAAACATAGACGTAGATATTAAAGACATCAAAACTTGTCCAATACATCTTTTAGATTTTCTCAAAGACTTCATGCACCCATTATGTTCCTTCATTGTGTGTGGTGGCTGTTCTCTGCACATTTTAACCTTCACATCAGAGGGAAAGGTGTGTTCAGAGATTTCACATGAGCATGTATGGTGAATCATGTTTTCTCCTTGTGGGCTCGCCTTGTATTGCAAATCTTTTAATAACTTTCAAGTTGGAGCTTGTCAAGTGAGCAGTTCGAACTGACAGATCATCCATAACCTTGACCTGATGTCAGTTTTTGTTACATTTACAGGTGTTGCGGTGGTTTGTGTTATGATTATCACAACATGTTTAATGGCCATCGTCATGCTCGTGATTTGGAATACCAACTGGCTCTTTGTTTCTGTTTTTTTTACCGTGTTCATATTTGTTGAAGGGTGTTACTTCTCTGTAGTAATCACGAAAATTCCTCAAGGTGGTTGGCTCCCCTTTATTATATCCATTCTGTTTACTTTAATTATGACGTCTTGGAATTATGGACGTCGAAAGAAGTTTGAGTATGAAATGAAAAACAAGCTCAGTAAGAAAACTTTGGGTGAGCTTTTATCCAGAATTGGAGACCATCGTGTTCCTGGCGTCTGCTTCTTTTACACTGATATATTTCATGGCATCCCTCCTATCGTCAAACACTACGTGCAGAACGTTCGGACCCTGCATCAGGTACCTATCCGTTGCTAACTACGCTGCTTTGACTCTGTATGCTATCTACAGTGCAGGTTGACTATTTGACTGTAAGCTACCTTTCAGTAGCTTAATCTCCATGTTTATTTCTCTCCGGACAGGTTATAATCTTCACAACAGTCCGGCATATTCCAATCAAGACCGTGCTGGCCGCTGAGAGATTTCTTGTTGGACGAATTGGGTTCACAGGTGTTTATCATTGTGTTGCTCGCTATGGTTACATGGATCTATTAAGTTCTGAAACAACGTACTTCTTAGATCAGGTACTCAACTTATTTTATCTCTAATGCTCATCAGTTGCAAATCTTTTGTACACACACTTCATTTGTCGATGCATTTGGGGACGTTTAAGGGCTATCTTTGCTGAGCTGAATTAAATGAGAGCATCTTAAATTGTGATATTAGATGACTCAGCATTAAATAGTTTATCATTATGTGAACCACAGCTTGATCACCACCTGCCAGAACCACCGATATCACTACTTATTTCTCTCGGGTCTATCAATTCCTGCAGGTGACGCAATGCTTAACAAAGCATATTGGCTCTGCCTTAGATTTCTCTGATAACCCTGATGAAGTCGGACAAGAAGATGAAAGAGCTAGGGAAATACAGATGATTGTAAATGCAAAAGCAGCTGGAGCAGTCTATGTACTTGGGCGGTCCGAGTTCAAGGTTGATAACAACACATCCTATCTGGACAGAATAGTTGCAGGGATCTTTTACCCTTTTCTGAACAGCATTTGCCGGTCCCCTGTATCATCCTTGCACATACCGCCCGCGAACTTCCTTGAATTAGGCATGTACTACGACCTCCTATGATTTATCCTCTCCATTCAGCTCCCCTTCGCCATCGAAAGGCGGCAGTATGGGGTCACTCTTTGCCATCGTTGCAGTAGGTAGTGCTGCAGCTTTGGCTCTATATAGTTCCTATTCATGGGGCCTCGGCACTACATCACAATCGAGGTCCTACTTCAAAATCATGTGACAATGGCTCACGTATTCTTCACGTTCCTATCATACAGCGGATCGACATAAAAATGTTAATTCTTGCATTTCATGCAAATGTGTGAGGCCACCAATTGTGATTGATGTTGATGCATATCTTGATTAGATGTTAGAACTTACCTCTTCCCTTCAAATTGATCTGGAATACCTAAGACCAAACAGTTTTCGAGGTCTTTCAAATCTTCGATCTGAAAGATTTACGGTATGCCATGAATTTTCAGAGGATGTTGCTTTATACTGACACATGGCAAACACGTTATGTTTATTTCAAGTCCTGGCAGTCAATTGTTCCTTAGTGGTGGTAGTTGAGTACCTAGTACTAAGCAGAAAAATGGTCAATAGAGACTTTGGCGGCTGCCCTCTGAGAGAGTATAAAAGTATATAATTAGACTCTTATTTATGAGAGATTTATGGTTTATTAAACTTTTGTTCCAGATACTCTGAGTTTAGCTTTATACTAAGAAATGAACTCAAATACCCCATAGTTTGGATGGCACATCCTTAAATTTGATTAAATATGGCAAACATGAGATGACACTTAGAATTGGAGATTGATGTCTATGCAGATATGACAATTCTTTCTCATGGTATTCTGCAGTATTCATGTTGACAGTCTTGAAACAAAGATTGTGCGTAAGATTGATTTGTTGCTATCTCTAGGATTGTGATATACTTCCGTGTTTTCTGAATTATACAGGTTATTTCGAGGACACTTAACATGAGACCTCAGCAATATTAAGCAAAGAATCACAGTTTTGGAAATGTAATTTTGCCAAACATGATCACATCATGTCTTACCTTAAAGTGTAAACATTCACTCATATGCAATTATGGCTGTTTCTTCAAAAAAATTACACCGCATAAGACTTTTAGGGTGTGTTTTGCACAAAGATGGGCAAAGCAGGCTTCATTCATACCAGTCAATGGTAAGCAAGGTAAAGGAGTACAAAACCCCAATAGGTTTTGTATTGTTCCACAACCTCACAATGGGTATCCATTGAATTCCATCAGTTACAGTGAAATCTAGCCCTTTGTTGGCACATTCTGGCTCATACAGCAGCTTTGTGCCTCACCACCTAATGCTCGACTCCAAGCATCTGGACAATCAGTACACTAAATACTAAATACCAATCAGCATCTGGACATCCATACAGTTTCATAGGCAGATTTGAGGGTACTGAACCCAAACATCTCAAGCCATTGCGCACAATCACAGAACCAGGTAGATTGTTGAGCACTTTGGCTGAGAAACTGATCATTCATCAATTACTCTACCGTAACAACGCCACATATCTAGTTGGCTGCTGACTCACTTTCTCTCCATTGTCACTAAAACTGTGGGGGAAGCTAACCTGAAACCTATACACTATATGAAACTGCAATTATATACATAGGATCATTGAGGCGGCAGGGGTGTAAAACTGAAGTGGCGAAGCTCTCCTCTGGTAGACTCATAACCGTCGTTACTAGCGCCGCATGATATTAGCAACTTGCTTCAACAAAGTCATTTTCCCCATCAATTATCAGCACTCGAAGTCACACTAACTAGGAATTGAATCTGCAATTCCTCAGTATCGATGTTATTAATTAACCACTTGTAACTCCGTAGTTGAATGAGAATATTACACTGGTCCAGGATTAGAGTGATCAGAAGACATACTCGTCTCACTCTGAGACCTGGAGTAGAACCGTTTGAACGGTGTTGTCGGTGCAGTGCCACTCGGATCCAGGCTTTTCCCTTCAGTATTTGCGTTGTCACTTGTCGCTTTCATATTTGAAGCCGATCCACGAATAGTGCGAACGCTTCGCATCACACGTACTGGTGAAGCGGGTGATGAAGGTGTGTCCGGAATGGAATTCCCGGAGTCGGATTGTTCAGCACAGTTGAGAAGCGACGGCCCATCTGTTAAAGAATTTGCTCCATTTTTGCATGATCCTGATCCATTGTTGGTTTGCCGGTAAAATGTACCTGGGAGGCTGGAACGTCCTAGTTTCGAAGCCCAGTTGAGGCTGGTCCCAGGGGATGAGGGGGCAGCAGGAACGTCGGCTGAAAGGTCTGCTTGTGTCCGAAGAAACTCCATAGCGTGGGTCATTTTCTCTATAGAATCGGGGGAGGAGGGATTAGTGAGCGGTAAATCATTCAATGAGCCCTGAAGGCCAAGTACCCTCAGCTGCTTGCCAAGAGTTAAGATGGTACGTTGGCACTCGGCTAATGCAGCTGCTGCGATCTCCTTCTCCTTCCGTTCACTTCTGGCTGTGTCGTCTTCAACCACAGCAGGTTGCAAATTATTCTCGTCTTCTCTGCTATTTATGCTTCTTCCTGATGAGTGTTCCATTCGTCCAACTCCCCTGATGCCAATGTTTCATGGTTTTCATCAGTCATGCTCAACTCTTCAGTGTAAAAGCGGGACAAAGGTTTAAGTTGACCTCTCCGACTGTGAGTATGAAAGTGTTTATTACCTATGGATTTGTTCTTGCATATCTTCAAGCTTTGAAACAACCTCCTGGTGTCGACGCCGCTCACCCTGCAACTCGACTTCTAAAGCGGCCACTTTATCTTGGAGCTGATGCATCTCAGCATCTGCAGCTCGCATGCTCACGGATAGGGCCAGATTCGGAGATGACAGCTCCAAGAGTTCTCGCTCTATCATATCATCCTCTTTCTCCACATTGTTGTAGGCAACCTGAATACATCAAGTAACCTAAGAATCCAATAAACAAGACGCCAACAAATGAAAATATTAACAAAAAGCACAAAAACATCGGTATTTCCGGGTGTCGGTTTGAGACTCCAGTTGAGTGATCACCTGTCGAGTTTGTAATTCCTTCACAAGAGTCTCAGATTCACCCAACCGCACCCTCAAGGATTCCACTCTGGCATTAGCCTCGACAAGATGTTGGTCCATTTCTGACAAATTATTGTCTAGCTCAGCCTTCTCCGTCCTCAATCGCTCAATCTCAGCTTCAAGCTGTGGAGACCGACCCGTTTCCACTTGAAGTTTCCACTGTAAATCCACCTGCTCTGCTCGTAATCTGCACAGCTCCTCTTCCAGCTGCGATATGGTCACTCTTGCAGACTCTAACTCCATGGATATGGCCAACCGTTCACGCCCTGACACATCCCTTTCTTTCCGCGTTTCTTCGTTGGCAGTAATGTGAATAATCAGAATGCAATCTAACGCGGCCATGAGCTCCATCACAAACTTCAAAACATCTGCACCACCTTCGAAGTACCCATTTGCAGCTTGAACCAGCCTGCTCATCGAAGCGTCCAATGCACCGTCTTGCCAACGCAGGGACGAGACAATAACATTATTGCTATCATTCGTAGCGACATGGTGCCCTAATGTAGGAGGAGCAGATTCAGTCCCAGTGGCTTGAGCAAGAGCTTCAGTGATGTGCACCAGCTTCCGAACCACCACACCAATCTCGTCATTGCCAGAAACAGAAGAGGTCTCTTTAGAATTTTCTGAGCCCTCCAACAACAAATCTAACCTGTCTTGCAAGTCAATAACCGACTGCTCATTAACCGCATTCCTGTTTTGAAAAAACAATGGCTGCTCCTCGGCCACAGAAAGCTTTTTACTAAGCTCGTGGCACATTTGTTTCGCTGCCTCAAGGTCCCGGTCCTTCACAGCTAGTACCTCCTCAAGCCTCACAATCCGGAGCTGATGACTAGATTCGTCAACAGCACCAAACACGATAAGTGCAGTCTCTACTGTATGCTCGGAGCCTGATATCGACAACGATTGAGGCTGCGAATTCGCCAACCGTTCCATTTCTTCGAAATCGTCCATGAGCTCAAAGTTGAGGGAAGTGTCACGTTTGGAGGCGAGTCCTTTCGGAGACGAATCACTCAAAGCTAATACATTCGATGGCCAATTCTCCGGTGATACTTTCTCCATCAGTGACACAGATTTTGAAGCTGCCCTCAGTGCCTCAACTTCTTCCTCCACAGATGAGAGACGGCTGGCAGTTTTCGCACACATGATGCGAGCGTTCTGTAGCTCATCGTTTCGCTTAGCAAGGGCTTCCTTGAGCATTCTTGTTTCTTCCTCTAGGTTGAGGATCTTCTCAACTGAAGCGTTGACCTCCAAGAATGCCTGCAAACTCTCTTGTGCAGCGGCCACTTGCGCCTGGTCCATTGCGCTTTGGCCTTTTCCTAAGGGTCTCCTGCGTGGACTCACTTTTCCAGGCTGATCTCTTCCGGAAGCATCCACGTCCTGCTTCACCCGTACCATCGCTGCGGAGCCTGTACACGACAAGAGTCTGTGAGGCAATGTACATCTGATATGGCTTGTATGGAAGTCGAACTCAAATCGAAAGGAATGACGTAGAGAAAGGTTGAGGGGATAGAGGCTCTACTTGGAAGCTTCTTGCGGAGCAGCGTACGAAGTCGGTTGCATTCGTCGTCGAGCTTGGTTACCTTCTTCATGACTTCCGCGTGTTGATTAGAAGCCAACTCTGCTGCTTCTCTTCCATGCTCCAGCTCTGACATACGAGTCTCAAGCTCCTTAGTTATCAGGTGGATATTACACTTGAGAGCAATGTTTTCTTTCTCCATTCCATTGAGCCGCACCTGAGGAATTTCCAAAGCTCAGGAAGCTGAAAGTTTGAACTGTGTCTTCATTGGATTCAGAGAGTCTAAATTCACTCAAGGAAACACGGAATCTCAACCGAGGATTGAAAAAGACGACGAGGGACTTCGGATCACGATTTCCCTTTCGAACACTTAGATAGTTCTAGTGGGAATTGCCTCTGACATTGTTTCGAATTGACAAGAGAAGACGAAGATGGTCTCTGCGCTTGGTAAAGAAAAGATGCACCGCATTGTATCGAGTGACTTACCTGAAGAACTTTCATCTCAGTCTCTGCACGGGCCCTTTTATCATTCACTTCTGCCAAAACCCTCGAACGCTCCTGCAAGGCATGAGTAAGAACTTTGTTCTCGGCTCGAGACTCAATGAGCTCGGCTCGCGTTTGCGCCACCATGTGCGACGCTTCCGTCAGTTTAGACTCCATTTCCAGCCGGAGCTTATCATACTCTTGCGTCTTCTTTACAATGGCTTCGTGGATGCGCTGCTCTTGCTCCTCACGCGCGCCACGAAGCTGCTTCATCACCTCTTTCAAGGCGCCATCTAGATGCTCCACACGGTCCTCGTTGGCCAGCTTCTGTTGCAAAGCGCACTCGAGCTGCAGCTTGAACGCCGCCGCATCGTTCTCTGCTCTCTCCCACCCTAAAAAAACCAGAACAGCAAAGAGTTCTCACTTTAACCACAACTCCAACTTACAGAACATCTACAACATGATCGCATGGAGGTTCATATTAGGATGAGAAAGCCGAGCTTACCAGTCACAGCCTCCTCAGCGACTTTGATGTGCTGCTTAACGAGGTTATCTTTCACAGTGATCTCCGCCAGTGCCTTGTTCAACTTCTCATTTATGGCCCTTTCTTTCTCGCTGTACTTTTCGTCAACTTCACGAAGAGTGTTGTCCATTTCTTCTTTCTGGCACCGGATTTGATCTTCGAGTATCCTGGCAACTTCCTGCAAATTGCGAAACTTTAGCTTAGAGACTGAACGAGAACAGCTAGAAAGTTCTGAGAAGTTTTTGCGTTCTTATTTTCGGACCAACGCCAATGCCTCAACAGATGTTTGAAGTTCATGTATTCTTGAGGAGCTGCAGCATTGCCAAGAGGTGAAACCAGAGGGAAAGAATGATGGGACACCTGCTCGTCGAAAAGTTTCACCGTAGGAGGAGAAGTGCCACCTTCCCCGAAGCCATTCTTCTTCTTCCACAGCCAACCCCGCGGCTTTTGCGCATCTTTAAAATCCATTTTTGATTCTTGCTAAGTTCTGTTTCCTAGCTCTGATTAATTTAACCTCTAGCAGCTGCAAGTACAGGAGAACAACATTCGTCGCTGTAGAAGAACCTGATCTGAGAGAAAATGCAAGACTTGTCCGTCATTGCATTTGATTACCGAACCCATATACTGGAATCCCCGCCCCGTCATATATCCTCATTTTCATTCCACGAATTCTTTAGTTCAGTGTCGGCGTCAGATACACCCTCTGCAACCCGAATATTAGTCAGCTGCTACACCTGAATGTGCGCTGCTAAATCCAATCTAGGTCATCTCTGCTTAAGCCAAGTTGATGGAAAACCTCGCAACCTCGCTTCGAATTCAAGGATGCCAGATTGCCAAAATTTATTTATTTATATATATATATATATATATTTATTTATTTATTTATTCTACTTCCGAGATTTAAATACCCCAGCTGAGAAAGCCTACCCTGAATCCCCAGCTTACAATGTCAATGTTTAAGTGATTCGCTAGAGTTTTCAGATATGCTCTAGCGCATGCAGTTGCCAGCATGCACCTTGCGTCGGCGGCGCCCTAGGACTACTTGCTACAAGAAATTGGAAGTAAGGCACACCTTATGAAAGGAGATTAAAAATTATCGGCCATCGAATTCTAAGCTGCATGAACTCGCCGCCCAGGCCAAATCGCCACACGGCTCCACCTGAAGTCCAGATCTCGGGCTCCATTTCCCCAAGAACGCCAACAATCTACGCTGCCGCAGCCAAGCGGTTCAATCTGCTGCGCCCCTCGTCTGCGCTTCTGGATTGCAAGATCCCAGCCGCCACGAACTTTCTCCGCCTCGGAATTGATAGCATGATCACTGCCTAGGGAATTGTTCCTCTCCACAGAACTCTCATGAGAATCACACACTAAACATGCAGATTCAGCAGCCGCGTTGCGGTGATTCAACATTCATGCTAAGTTCAGGATTCGGAATCTAATGAAACCTCCGCCTGTCCTGGCGGCGGCCTGCCCGTGTACACGCGAGGGGTCTAGAGGAAACTTCAAAATCTACTCAAATTCCACAAGACGGGCCTCCCAGGATAAGCCTTCCTCAATGCAGCACCCATCCCACAAACGCCGCCACCATGTAAAAACTCCCAAAACGAGGTCCAAACTCAGAGGAGCCGGCAGCAGCTTCACCTTCGCCAATCTCATACCCAAGCGACACAAATCCACATGGGAAGCTCAATCCAAACACCCGCATCCAAAAACTCTAAATTCTCTCCTCTGCAAGGATGCACCCCCCCCCCCCCCCCCCACTCGCTCGCTATCACCAATAACTCTTCACAAACCATCCAGCGAATCCCTACAATCACACAGTGCACTCAGGTGCAGAAGCTACACCTCTTCCTCTCTGTCTCTGTCTCTTTCCGCACTCTCCCCACTTCAATCTAGAACAATCAACTCCCTTGCAGACACAAGCATCATGGTGAGGTCCAGAACAGAGAAGTGGAAGTGGTGTGTGATAATGATGCAAGCCACTTGAGACAAATGCAGAGTGCAAATCTACAACGTGCAAAGCAGAGACAGATGATGACGATGATAATGAAGAAGAAGATTTGAGACAAAGAGGAGAAGCAGGAGGAAGCGGGGAAGCAAAGAGAGTGTAGATCATGAGCAACAGCGGAGTATGTTGAGAAATGGAGGCTAAAGAAGCAAAGGGAGTGAGGAGTGTGGAATGGGAGAGTGTTTTCTGCTCCAGCCTCATCCATCCCCCCACTCCCCTCTTTCTAGTCAACGACGTCCCCTGGTCATCTATTATTCCTCATCCATCCGTCCATGCATTCATCCATTCCCTTACTCTGCTCCAGCTAAGTAGGAACTCCTTTTATCCGCCTTTTCTCCCTTCTCTGAGATTTTCTGTTTGTCTTTGGTAATCATGCTGCCCCCCTTTTGAACAAAGATAATGATTCCAACTTTTAATTGTGGGCTTGGTGAATGAATAAGCCCAATGTTTAGGGTAGGAATGCATGTCATTGGCAAGCAAGCATTGGCAAGCAAGCAAGCTTTGCTTTGCTTGCAACCTCTGGAATCTTTGAAGACCACCGTACTGGAAAAGATTTCATTCATAAGTGAAAAACCCACTTGTTATTGTGCTTTTTTATTGTGTAAATGCTTGCAATTTCCATACACCAACCCAGCACATGAGTGGAATGGGTGTATTCAACCATGGTTGACCCAGTTTCCAAGCTCCCAATGCACTCCAATATGCCTGTTTTTCCCAGTTTCAGATCCTCTTCTGAGGTAGTAGCAAAGCCAGTATGTAGACACCCCTGGTGTTGTTGCATTTTCTGCAGTGTACCAGCCTCCCAAGTGAGATCCATCTTCTGAGCACACACACACACACCCCATTCCTTAGAATCTGCTGACTTGTCCGGAAGGGCATTTCAGTGCACAGCAGATGCTACTGCAATCATCACTCACACGTACATCAGACAGACTGACAGACAGGCTTGCCACATAATGCTTGCTAGCCCCAGAACAGTTTGTTTGGGTGGCCACTCTGTAAGTCAGCTGCAGCAGCAGAGAGCACGCACAATGAAGAAGGGCCAAGGATTAGCATGTTTGCATGTGCAGAGGCCTCAGAAAAGGCATATGGGGCCTCTTCCAAGGGGGGCATTCTTGCTGAGGCACCCATAAATGCTACTTTCCACACTCTCCATCAGTGCTGACCCCCCCCCCTTTCTGCTCAAAGGCAAAAACCTCTCTTTACTGTGTGAAGCCTTGCTACTGAATGGATGGTTTTAAAGTTTTTTATATTATTTTGTATATTTTTCTCATCTCTTTTCTTTCTTTAAATGTTCCTTTCTTTTAAAAGCATGTGTACCAGATATATTATGGTGATTGCTCTTGAGTGTTCAACTGTGGGTGATGGGACTGTGGAGGTTTTAGGGTTTTGAGGCCATGGTTTGAAGATGCATGCAACAGAAATAATAAAATACAAATAGTATGCAAGTGAAGGATGCAGCATAAATGATAATATAGTGATGTCAAAGGTGGAAGCATCTGAAGTGTCCTTGGTACTATTTGAAGTTTACAGATATAGCATCTGCATGGTGTATGGATGTCATGGTCACAAAAAAAAAAAAAAAAAAAAAAAAAAAAACTAAGAGACATTTAAAACACTCTTACATATATTTTTACAATTCAAATTTTAAACAAACTAAGGTTTCTCAGGAGCATTCATGCTAAATTATGAGGACAATTTGCACCATCTGCATCTAGGTTTAATTGACTGTAAACAAAATGTGTTCAAAACTTGATTGGTTTATTTGCAAACAATAGATATGATTATCTCATCCTCATGTAGTTTAGCAAAATCTATTAAAAGTAAAGTGAATGTAGACAAGTAGATCTTTTGGATGCAGTAATCTTTCCTTCACAGAGAGAGAGAGAGAGAGAGAGATTCAATATTTCACCATCAAGGTATGTAGACGATAACTAACCTCCTCCCAGATGCTGGAAATGTGGAAAGTATTGCCAAGAGCTGATCATGTTGTGTGCTGATGGCACAATTTGCCACAAACCCACTGGCACTTTGAGGAAAGCTGCTGGAAGTTTCAATCCATTTTTACAAGATTCTTTGAGGAAGCAACAACTTGTGGGATCCAATTTCCATAGTTGCAGAAAAAAACTTCATAAAAATGGAAACCCTCAACAGCCCACCAAAGCCAATGCATTTGTGCATAGTGACAGTGGCAATGGCTTTTTGGAAGAGGAAAGGGAGTGAGGCTCTGCTCATTAACTCAGCCTAGGGGAGTATGTCTGCCAGGATTGGGGCATGGATTTTCTCATCCATGAAGCACACAAGTCTACAAAAACACCAAAGGGTTTTTTCATCACCTTAGTCTCAATTAAACCCTTGATCCCAGACAACACTTCCCAAACCTCCACTACCCAACAAAGCATGTCTGTTGCCCATATGACATTAAGTAGCACCACATTTTATAAATTAAAAAATAAAAATTGAATGAAAAAAAGGAGCATAGCCATTGACTTTTACTTTTGAGGGGGATGAAGATTCACCTTAAGGGAAATAGCATCATAACAGAGGATATTCCATGGCTTTGTGGTGTGTTGCACATGTATGTGTATGTATCTACCTCCTCTATTCCATCCATCCACATTAGCTCTTCTTTTGAGAAAGTGAGCCTTTGTTGGCATGAGATTTGAGTCACCCAGGTAGGCAACATAAAACCCTATACCCTTTGACTCACATGTCATGCCATGCCATGCCACCACACCTACCAACAAAAACAGAAAACAGAAGCAAATGCTAGCAACAGCTTGCTCTTTGTGACTGAAGCCTCCTCCAACAAGGCAGAGCAAAGCAATGCAAAGAAAATGTCAGCTGTTGGGGAAGCGTTTCTACTTGAGACCTGCAAATCAATAACAACAACCCTCTTGCTCCTCATACAAGTTGAGCTACTAATTGTCTCAAAATAGGGAGTTGTCTGCTGCTGCATTCATTCTTTTTGGTGTGCCCATTCAACATGCAAGAGATTCTCTTGTTCCTATAGACCCCACCACCACCTGGTCCTATTTTCCCATCTCCTGAAGTGGGCCTCTCTTTTTTGAGGGAAATAGAGAAAGGAAAAGAGTGTAGCATTTTGTGGGGGTTTTAGAGTTACGAAGTTGTGCAATCAGTCACACCCCCCCCCCCTCCCAGTTTGTGTGCCTCTAACTCTAATCCTACTGTGTGAAACCCTAATTGTCCCTTCACTTGACCAATACTACCACCACTAAGGATTTTGGGGGTGGCTAGAATTCCTTGTCCTTTTGTGCTTCACTCTACCTTGATCTTTCATTTGCTTCATGATGGATGGACATTGTGAGAGAGGGATGAACACAATCATGTCTGTATTTATTTAAAAAGGATCAGTGTATTTTTAAAACTGAAACTGAGCTCTATTCACACTGGTGGTACTTCGGAAAAGGAGAGCTCATTCTTTCAAAGAAAAAAATACTCCCCTTGCTGTCAACTCATGAAGCTTTGTGTCTTTGTTGTTTGATACAACAACAGAATCCAAAGTAAATTTTTGCATTGAGGGGATGAGCTTGGACTGGTCTCTGACCACAGATTCTATTCTAATTGGACTGAAGTGGAAAAAGGACAGGTTGAGCTAAGCAGTAGAAATTGATGCACCCAAAACCAAAAAAACAACAAAAAACTTTGGTGACAAGCTTCCATTATTGCTCATGCTTTGACCAGCCCCCCTTGGCTAACCTCAATTTGAGGAGCATCGTTTCTAGAGCTCAGAATTAATGGCTCAGATTTTAGTAGGGTTTGTTAAAATTTACTTAGAGTCAATTGGGATTTATTTAGGAAATTTAAAGTTTATTTGTGATTATTTAATGATTCTTTTAAGGTTTCTTTAAAATTTCTTTGGAATTTCATTAATATTATTAAGGTTCAATTGATATTTATTCATGATTTCATTAATGTTAGGTTCTTGTTTAATTAAAAAAAATACATGTTTACCTTCCACAACGAAGTTCTTGGTTCATTTTCAAACAAGATAACACATAATGCAACACCACTTGACCAAATGGCCATAGTATGAAGTGGCCCTCAAAGTACCCAGGCTTTCAATTTGCAAGCACGGGAACTATTGAAGAGTAACAAGGAGTCCACAAACATTATCCTTGCTGTTCTCTTTCAATGTATAAGGCTCCATTTATAAGAGACTAAGCCCCAACTGTTCCTCTCTGTAACTTGCTCTTAGACATTGTGGCATTAGGAATGATATTTTTAGCAGATTGGCAATTGAATGTGCATCAACCTTAGTTGGCTTTGAAATAGCTGCAACAATCTCCATCCCATAGTGCCTCTTTTAAGAAATTTATATTGGCATTGTTTTGTCATATTGCAAAGTGTAAGAACAACTATCTTTGACCCTATTATTTATTTATATTGGGTGAGCCTAAGAGGCATGTAAAAATTGAGAAAAATATCATCACATTTTATTGGCTTTAGAAGAATAGATACCCTGGTAGAATAGTATTAAATCAATAAAAACAATCTAAATGACTTTACATACCAATATATTTTTATGAATTGTAAATTTTTAACCTTGTCTAATTTTCCTCAAATGATTTTGTATTTTTATTTTTTCTAATTTTACCACTGAATGATGGCATTAAGTTAATCTACATTAACATTTTAATCCCACAATTTTTCAAAGAAAATTATATCGTGAATTTATTCATTTACTTATTTCAGAATAAAAAAACAACACTTGCATGCACATGTACAGAATAGTAATTTTTTTGAAAGAGTATTCTTTCATATTAGAAAGTTAAAATTTATGAACTTAATTATCTTGTGAATGATGTTGGAAGTAGTGCTGAAATGAACTGTGAATGGTGAAGAAGACAATTCTAAAATGTTCACAATAAACAACTTATTTTTAAACATCATACACATTTTTTTACACAAATATATGGTTCAATTATATGAATAGCATTTTCTACTTGAAGAAACATACAAATAACCATTTTTTTCATACATGATACCAAAAAATAATTTCAAACATTGAAAACAAAGTTATGATACCTGCATTCATCTTGGTCACACCTTCAAATTTAACTAATTTATAGTATAATTTACAGTATAAAATATTTAATAACTTATGTTTCAAATTTCTTATCTTGTCATGTGTTTCGAAAAAATTGAACATTTGTTTTACAAGTTTGGTGTTCCATCATCTTATTCAAATTTAAGTTAGTAGTTACACGTGCAAAACCATGTTGTACCCATATTTCAGAAATCCATTGGAACTAAAATAAATCCTTTCTAGGCATGAATAAAAAATTTCAAAAATAAATTCTGAATTTAAATTTATTTGAAAACATATTCCATGTGTACTTTGCAGAGCCCCATTTTTACACTTGATCAAGAATTTGATTGCAACATAAAAGTAAAGGTAAAAGTAAAGAATAAACAAAATCATGCTGTTGTGACCATAAAAATTATAAATAAATCTTACTCTTTAAGTGGATGATAATATGCTATTAATGAACATACAACATGGATTGAAATATGACTATTATTAACAAAATACGTAAGGTAATTTTCTTTGTTAATTTTTTAAAATTATTATTTTTTAGAGTTTAAATTATAATACAAATATTCATTTTATCAATTATTGTGAAAAAATTTATGTCTGATGCCAGAAAAACCATTCTTAGGCATGTACTTAAGAAAATGATGCAGCATAATATTTGAATTTTATGCTGTAACAATTTTCTCTTTAACCACACCAATTTTTAAAGACTACATCTTTTAGAGAAATCTCATAATATCCTAAGAGTGATGATTTGAAAAATTAGCAGAAATTTGCTTTACAAAATAACCATTTGACTTGTAACTTTGCAACTGATGTGTCAAATGCACAATTTCTTCACCACCTTAGTGACTAGTAGTAGCATAAGTCTCCAATATCGTTTTCACTCTCATGCATATCCACAAACTCATTTTTGTTTGCATTACTCAATTTGATATGTTTACCACCTTCAAGCATGGTTTTGTGTGTTTCACCCTCACTCCATGCATTGTATATCTCTATTTGTAACTTTTTCATCAAAAATTAATAATTATCTTACATTCTCTTACATTATGTCTTTTAAAGAGAATGGCCTTATGTAAGTTGAAATTTCATAGTATTTGCATACAAATTACTCTTATCCATGCACAAAATTTATCCTAAACATTTATAAGTCTTGTTCGAGATGTTCAAAAATACATTCAGAAATGTCCACAAATGATGACACTTTCACTTTCTCAATATCTTGGACAATGGTTCAATTTGTAATCTCATAAAATACCAATTTATTTTGCATATACCATCCACTCAAAGACATCTGGCGGCTTCCTAGATTTTGCTAATTAATTTTTGGTATGAGACCTTGTAGACAATCATAAATCTTAATTTTGCAAATTTCAAAAAAGAAATTTGAAAAGAAATTTGAAAAGAAATAATATGTTAGAAAAGATAAGATAAAAATAAATAAAGTAAAAATACAAATGTGTTCTGTTGAGTTTGTAGTCAATTTCATTGAAATATGAAGTCAAGTGAATTGCTGAAATCATCTAATTGATTGGATGGACACCTTTCATTTTAACAGAATCTCGTTGCATTCTATAAAATTCATGATTGATTTATATATATATATATATATATATATATATATATGTTAAAATTTTAGTAGCATGTTATAGACTAAGATGAAAGGAATTAAACCCAAAAAAAAAGAAAAAAAAAAAAATCAATGTATGGACAAAAGAATTCAATTAAATCGATTCATAGAATAATTTTTTGTATATTGCTGGTAAAGCTCAAATACAACTTTAGTATACATACTTAGATAATGTATAATATTGATAGTCGAAATATTTGTAACATATGTTTATGAATTTTTACAACCTTGGAGTATGAGCTGTATGACCCGAATTTAAAACTTCAATTTGATCTTATAAAAGATTCGTGTATTAATATTGATACTTATATTTGGAGACAATGTTGAAATTAGCCAGTGAATTTAATAATCATAATTAACTTGGGCTGTTTAAGACTATCCTAGCAATAAAATTTTGCATAAATGCGGTAAAAGAGGTACATGGTTAGAATAAAATTTGCATAGAAATAATATAAGTGGTATAGAAGGTGGGATAAAGTATGTTGTGTAAAATTAGAAAAAAAAAAAAAAAAAAAAAAAAAAAAACTGTAGTACAAAAAATAGACCAATGGGTTAAGGTGAACATTTATTCATAAAAAAATTATATTATTCATATTAGACTTCAAAATTTTGCAAAATTTAACAAAATGTGCACATTTTGCAACAAATATAAAAAAAATAATTAGACTCACACTAAAAAATATGAGGAAACTTTACTTCTATATATATATATATATATATATATATATAGAGAGAGAGAGAGAGAGAGAGAGAGAGAGAGAGATGATGATGATGATGAAGGAGCAAAATTCATTGTTGATATCATGTATGAGTCTATTCAACCATTAGCACAAAAAATATTCAAGTTTGGGTTGAATGAAAAATATAATTTTAAACACTATATCATGCCTATTCAAAGGTCCAACTTGAGATAAGTATATACTTTCTAACATCCCCCCAAAAAACACTTTCATGTGAAGTTTAGAGTGAAATGTCATTCATACATTCATATGCTATTTGTAATGGTAAATGCGGGCACATTGACTTCATTCTACAATCTACAAATAGAGATGAACAGGGCACCAGCTTTAGCTCAATGAGCTTAAATAATCCACACTCCATATAATTTTGTTACATTGAACAATATACCTGGCAATTTAACAAGGAGCAGCAGTGAGAGCAAGAACTGCTTGAAAACAACATCCCAAACACAATGTACAGTGCAATATTGCAATTTATAATAAAACTAGGGAATCAGAAACAGAACTCTTGGCCCCACTCCTGTACAATGATAAGTTTCCTGTAACAAATAATTGTTCTTACTGTATGTTTTTTTAAAACACATAATTAAATTTTGGTTACTCTTTTTTATGGGTTTCATAGGCATGTTGTAGCTATTGCTTACCCAATACAAAATACAGCATTGACCTAGCAAACAACATAGAAGATTGTGCAGTTTTGTATGATTTACTCTAGTATTATGATTGTATGCATCATGAGCCCAGAATGAAATGAAGTTGACCTTCATGGCCACAGAAGAAAGAGCTGCACACTTCATCTTTACCTCAGGGTATACTGTATCCAAGCACTAAATTGCCAACGAGAACTTGTAAATGAGTTTTAATTTTTGTGTGTGCAACATGACAATAGTGGTATATCATCCATCTAAAGTTGTTATGCACTGTTCAAGGTGTAGAAATTTAGTAAATGTTTGAGGAAATTTGGGTTCAATCTGTGAGTACTCATAGCACAAGCTATTTAGGGTATGTATTGAGACAAGTTCCCAAGTTGTCTTCCTGCATCCCACTTGTCACACAATGCCAGTCCTTGTCAATGACTCAACAAGATTACTGACCATAAATCTTGCAATTCAACTACATCGCGGTAGTGGGGCAGTTGATTTAATGTTTCGCCTGTTAGCGTGTAGAGTCAAGGGAAAGCCACAAGTCAAACATGTGAGGGTTGCTCAGAGAAATCACACCCAGGGACAAGGACCACACTCAGTTTCCAACGTTCAAGCTCTGAACCGCAATGGCATTCATTCAATCAATTCGTAAAATTTACCCGAGAAGGGCAGATTTGCAACCGTGGGCTGAAATATATCGGCTACCAATTACTGCAGCGATTAACCAAAAGAACAGGCAAACTGGTGTAAAAACAAGCCAAATAAGGCCAGCTAAAGAGGTCAGGTGATGCAAATAATATATTGCAGAAAGTGGCAAATTTGTGAGAATCTACTCAAAAGACGGAATTAATTAACTAACTGGAAAGAGTTCGAATACTAAGTGTTGTCCAAGTAAAGGCAGCATTTCTATATTTTACAATTGAATTTCTCATCCTCAAAGTAGAAAGACTCGACCAAGAGCGAGGTTGTGGGGTCACCAATATAAGGAATCATGATACACAATTAAGAAGTGCATTCACTTCCGGCTGAGAAGCATAGTGTTCTGCTTCGTCAATAGGTCTCTCAGTTTTTTCGTTAAAGCTGAATCGCTACACAAATAATCTTCAAATGACCTACGCAACTTATTCAAAGTGTCATAGCTCTTGTCGGTCTTCAAGTTAAGCAGTGTCTCGAAAAAATTCTGCCACAAATTCACGTTCCAATACCTGCAGTACGTTTCCGGAACTTAGGCTACTTTCAAGTTACCAAATTCACAATTTTGATCAGGACATAGTCTTCGTAACAAATTTGATAACCAGAAGACTTCAAACATGATGCTAACTGACAGTGTTAGCACCATGTTCCGCATCCAGAAAGCTAAAAGGCACAAATTACCTTTTATAAGGCGCCTTCGGGCGGTAAACGACCTGTGGGGCCCCATTGCTTGAGCGCTTATCTATCTCCATATAGTTCCCGTGCAAAAGGCAGTGTGCAACCCCACACAAGCCATATGTATCCACCTGCCGGATAATGAATGTGGTTAAGTATCACAACACTGAACAGCAATTACTGATCATACTTGCTAGCTAAAAATTTACTCGCTCAGATTCAGGCAGATACGTTACAATGAGAGAAATAGATACAACTTTGCTTGAGTTAAAGCACCTGAAAAGTCCACGGTTTCTTCTCAATCATTTCTGTGCACCGAAACCCATCAGTCTTGCTGTCGCCCACAAATTCCGTTCCTTCAGCGAAGAGAGTAAGGTCAATGCTGCGACCCCAATCTATGAGACACACACCCTGAACAGGAATGGACACCATTGTCAGATTGAAATAATTTAATATACAGATTGCCTAGTTCACACGTCTTATTCAAGAACTAGAACCATCTTACAGCACAGAAAGGACTGCTACAAGGTCTGACCTGCTGCTTCCAGGAACCTGACTTATCAGGAGTCCAAACTCCCAGATTCTCACTGCAAAGCCAAGAAACCAACAAGCACACGGTTAGCAACGTCGGTCAAACTCAGATTGATTTCGGAAAATATCTTCCTCAAAACTCAAAGTCAAGTGTCAGAATCAGTCTCATATTTTTCGAGAAAACGATCCCATAGTGTGAAGGTAAATGAGGCTGCACCTGCTGCTGCGTATAAGCAGATTGTCAGGTTTGAAGTCTCCATGAATGAGACCAACTTTATGAAGATTTTCCAACATGTGCAACATTTCTATGGTGTAGAAAATGCACAAAGCTTCATCCATTCGTTGGCCCTTACTGAGATAAGAATTGATAACATCCTGCACTCCAGTAAATGCAAGCTGATATTAGAATCGAGCAGGTGAAACTCCAGCGTACAAATTGCATGTGCTAGATGGCGCACAATTTTTTTTGGAAAATGCACGTTTAATTCTTGTATCCACAGCTTCAATTTAAATGCAGTAGTTCATACCTGAAGGGTTCCGTATTGACCAAAGTCGCATTCCATGAAGCTACAATCCGCATAGATGTGAATATTCTGGGCGCATCCGTATGAGCATCTCTACAGCCAGCACCAATGGTTTGTGAACAGATGATGATGATGCTGGTGAGGGCGATGATAATAATAATAATAATAATGATAATGATATCTATCACAGCAACACTATCTCAACGCAATGCAGACGTGTCCATTCTCAGAACCTTCACCCGTTTTTCCTGTTCCTGCAAATGCAGAAAAAAGAGGATCGTCCTTTCCTTCTGACGTTATGTTTCAGCTAAAAATACAGCACTTTTAAGGGGTATGAGGTAAGTACCTCTTCTGAAAGGATACGCACATCAAGCTGACGATATATATAGAATTCCCAAGGACAGGGTGGCTTTTGAACCTGAGACACCAGTTTTCAGTATTGATCGATTATCTCAACATAAGATATAACATATAAATCATATATACTATTCAGAATTAGAAGGGCTGGGCAATAGAAAGAGACGTAACAGACACTGCAAACCCTGAGGTTCACATTAGATTTCGGAAAGCAATTATTTATAGCTTCTGAGAATTATAGATCGTGATGCTGAGCAAGGCACATAATGATATCGATCCAAAAGGGTCCTGAATGTGTATCTACACTTCAATCATTCCAGGGATTATCTTACTTTAAGCACTACACGATGGCTATCTCCATTATTGTGAAGAGCATCAGCTAAGTAGACTTGAGCAAATGCGCCACGACCTGTACATCCCTTCAACTGATACTTGCTGCAGCCTGCATCACTTAGTAACAAACGCAAAACGCATTAACAGATTAAAAATCATAGAGGTAACAACAGTCTTCAGAAAAGATGAGCCATTCAAAGATAAGCCCTCCGTCTACCAACTTTCAAGGTAAAGATCGAGCATAATATACTTTTCCTCTTATTTAAGATGTATAACACAGCTTTCGAAATCGAAAAACAGACTGGTCATTGTCCTCATACATACCCAACTCTAATGGTTTGTTCTTCACACCGGGTTTGGTGGAAGCAAAAGTGGCCAAAGATACTTTTCCTGAATATTTCTTGGAGCTGTAAATATATCCCTGCGTAGAAGAAATAATAAAATTGAGGAAATCATGCTATAAATGAATAAAATATTTGATTTGCGGCAACAACATTCATTTCCTGAAACCAGCTTCTCTACAACGCCTAGATGGCAGCACATGGCTCGAGCCCATTCCATTTCTCTATCAATTGAAGATAATTTAAGAATATGTGGAAGTTGCAAAGTAGAATATGCTCAACCAACTCACCTTATATTTGGACAATGGCGGGTCTAACTCTTTCAATAAACTAGCTAGCAGTGATTGCTCCCATGGATATAATTGTCCTCCCGGTTTCTTCCTGTGCTCCGTCCTAGAAAGTGTAGGCTCCAAGATATTCCTGCCCCCCAAAAAATAAGACTAGGAGTTATTGAATCGTTTTAAATGAAATCAAGTGGAAATTGAAGTTCACAGCAATATGACCACAAGAATAGGATCCCACCTTTGCAGAGAAGTTGATCCTTTGAAGGTGGTAATGCTTTTGCTTGGAGTCGAGCAGACGATTGGAGAATACTGCGAGGGTTGCTGCTCCCTCGTGACGTCGGATCTGTCCATAACAGGAGTACCACTCTCCCGGACTCCAGATCCTTCGTTGAAGGTGGTAGATGCAACCTGCACCTTTTGCTTCTTGTTGTCCCTATTGTCGATCTTTTCTTCTTCATCGCTAAGATAGATACAATGAGTACTACCCTTGGCGCTAGTAGACCAGCTTGAGCGTTTTCGGCTCGAAGTTGATCTAATACTGCTATCGTCATACACACTATATTCATTGTTTACTCTATTTTTTCCACAGCTCCGGCCCTGTGCTGTACCTTGATCTGGCTTAGAGTGTTCATCAGGAATGCTGCCTCTGCTTTCCTTCGTGATCCGTAGTCCAACAGCTGTCTGCTCCATGCTCTTCTGATTAGGAGGAGCTTCAGTGTCCACAGCAGACGTGCTACTCGAAGCGACATCTTTATGAACGCTGACGAACTCCCGTGGGTGAATGGTAGCAGCCTTATTATGCACTTGATTATCTGAACTCCAACTGGTATGTGCCGACGCTTCCGGCTTAACGCCTTCAGCCGCCATACTTTTTCCTCCAACAGCAATATGGCTAGACTGTTGCTGTATTGAGGCGGTGATCCCTTTGTAATCTGCTGCAACGTTTAAAGTTCTGGACTCTGAATCACTAGGAATAGAGGTACTCGGACTGTTATGTGGAGCGCTTGCATTGGCAGACTTGCGAACAGGTTGATTCGGTGCTACAGGAGCTCTAAGTCCTCCATTAACAGGTGGTGTGCCTTTCTGAGTACCTGCGTAAGGCACGGTGGTCTTCGCAAAGCTAGAGGTCACGCCTCTCTGACCAGGTTCCTTACGTGCAAAAGAGTCGCTGAACATCGACATTATATCATCTGTCACCGATTTAGAGTCCATAGTGAGATCATCAAGAACCTCACTCTGACCAGGTCGCTGCACACTGCTGACATTGACTACTGTCCCCGCTAAGTTCTCGTTTGTGTATGACTTCTCAATCTTGGGCATGCCCCTGTGCGACGCCAGAGGACTTGCATATTCTTGTGCTACTGCTTCAGAGCGAGATGATGTCTCTCTTGGGTCGCTGAACATCGCCATGATATCATCCGTTACGGATTTAGTCATAATAGTGGCATCGTCAACAATCTTACTTTGACCAGCCCGTTCTCCAGAACTGCAATTTCTTTCCATCCCTCTCACGTTCTCATTTGTGTATGACCTTTCAGTCTTGAAAGAGTTTTCATGAGCAGATGGAGGTCTAACAGTAGTTTCAGAGTGCAAGGAGGCAGGTCTCGAGTCAGCGAACATCGCCATAATATCATCTGTCACCGATTTAGTCACGATGGTGACATCATCAATATTCTCACTATGACCAGCTGGTTCTGCAAGATTTCCATTTCGTTCCATTCCTTTTAAATTTTCATTTGTGTGTGACCTCCCAGTCTGGGGCAAGTCCCTATGAGGCAACGGAAGACTGCGATGTTGCTGCACTGCAGTCACAAAACTCGATGTAGCTGGTCTCGTTAAGTGCTTCTCACCACCAAATGAATCATTGGAGAGAACATTTCCAGCATCTGCAGGCTGTGATGACCTAACAGACTGTGAGAGCTTTGGGACACTGTTACGAAAACCATTTGAAGTCTCTGTTTTCTGACCTGGCATTTGGTTGGGCATAGAGTCCATTCTGATACCAGGTCTATAAGGATTATGATTCACTTCGTTCACCCTGGTTCGTGTATCCGTGTGAATCGAGTTTGACATGTTCTGTACGTTGTTGAAGGCTACAGGAGCATTATACGTTGCAGAACGTAACTGCGAGGATTTATTATGCACCCAATGACGCATTCTTTCTTCCTCAAAACTGGACTCGGCTTTAACTGCGGTGCTCTCGTAGATTTTGGATCCAATTAACACCGGTGCTGCAACAGATGACACAACTTCATATTATTAGCAACCCAGAACTATGTTCTACACACTAACGAGATCCTCATTCCAGAATTATCTAAATTTAAGTATAGTGACAGAGAAACTCACTTACCAGGACCATTGTAACCACCAACACTAACTTGCATGTCTGGAAGAGGGTCTTCTCTTGCACTATTCTGAAAAGGAGGCATTGTTGGCAATCCTGTGTATTTTTAACACCTGTTTGTTAGTCTCAAAATAGAAAAAGAAGACGAAGTAGAAGATTGATGATAATAGCTGAAGTAAAAGTAACATCCAAACGTCTGCAATAGCTAAATCCGAGATCAGCATGTTAAACAATATTAAATACATGTGGTCTACCTTGGATGCCATTACTGCCAGAAAGAGGTCTCTGTGCTCCTCTGGCTAACAAAGCCTTCAGTTCTTGCTCCTGCAAGACCTCAGTTGCGATACACACTCTTGTCAAGAATACGTCATTGATAAATAACTGTTACAGAAAAAACGTCAGTCATTGTTCCGAAAATGCGAACCTTACGTGTTAATCACTGGTACAACTAAAAGGATACCAGTACACTTTAGGCATTGAGAAGAAACCTGTCGCTGTTTACGCTTCTGGCGTGCAAGCATTCGGCCGCGAAAGTTGTTGTACATGAGCATCACTCTTTCAAGTGGTTGTGCTCCCCTGCACCCATGCCCCCGGAAATGAGTTGGCAACAAATTGACATCCTGAATGAACAAAATTATTAAATAATTCATATCAAGACAAACAATCATTTGCAAGAGAAATGCTCATGCCTAGATATGCCAAGTTGAAAGACATAATCGGCCTTGGCGAAGTCTCTAGAAGATTCCAGCAACATAGCATACGCCTCGTAGAACAGCCCATGCCCCAGTCCAATCCCATTCGCCTCTAGAAAGGGGAAAATGCCTCCCCGGTCCACACAGCAATCTGCCTGCAAGCGAGTACCGATATGAATTAAGTTGCTGATCAACCAAATCTCTACATTCCAAGCTACAGCTCCAGCGGAAAGCTCACTCCTAGCAATACTTTCAGCCACTGGTGGACTAAAGCCACAAGAAACTTCAGAAAAAACAACAAAGAACATTCTACGTGGAGGAAAGGGTCCATGAAATGCACAAAATACGTGCAAAAGTGGGAAGTATGTTGAAGTTTTCTTTATTGCAAAGCCGAGCTAAGAGTTACACGCATTCTTACTGGACTCGTGAACCATTCAGGAGGATCTTAAGCTCGACACAGGATGGAATCAACGGTCTGTCAGTCAGACTGTAACTTAGTACTTTCCCTGGCCTACGTGTCGCTATTAGTAACTCGTACGAGCATTTTATCACAATTACTATCGTGATTAGTAATGGGTTGACTACAAATACACTACAGTTTGGGCAATAGTCGCATAAAGTGGAACATCACCATCTTTCTGTGAAATCTAAACAGAGGATGTTGGCAGAACTTCAAAGGGGAGTTAGCGTGCATTGTGGATTCTGCCAGTAGTGAGACCAAAATTCTAGGGATGTACTGGAAGACTTACGTATTGTATCCAAACTCTCAAATAACGAAGGTCCGATTTGTATCTGTTGTCCGCCAGAAACTCATTCCCAGTAAGTTCCAGCACTTCCTTCAGAACTACCTGCACATTACCTGGCGGGTTCATCTCCTTCAACCACTTTATGCACCTGTTTGGCCAAAAATCACATCTTAGAAAAGACGTGATCTTAAATTTCAATCCCAAATTAGGAATAAAATAAGCTGTTCATTGCCTACGTAACTTTTGCAAACAACTATGCTGAACTAAGACTTACCGTAACCATGGCTCAAGGGGGTCATTGCCAGAATACTCCGAAACGAAATTAAGAATTGTCCTGCAAAACAAGCACAATTACTTAGATGTAACTCATGCAGATCCTCGCCCTGTAAACCAAGTTTGATCCAATGACTGAAAGCCATGCCCGCACTAATCTTGTACCCTAGTTCCTAATTGCTTGCCAGAGGGAAAATGAACGAACCTGCGCAAGTCATCATCGCGGCTTTCCGAAGAGCTATTTTCGTATGTATTCATGGCCATGCAAACTGTCGGCAGACAACCCCTAAATGAAAAGATCCCTAATCCCCCACAACCCTCTTGGTGAAGCCGGAACAGAATATGAGCCTCTCTGGAAAGCCAGCCAGTAATTGCACGTCAGTCTCAGCAAAATAGGTCATCCCAATCCGAATAGCTCCAAACCATCCTTCGATAACAGTGCCATTCCCAAGACCAAACAATTCAGCTGGATTCGACATCACAATGTCGATCCACGTGCATTATGTCAGACGCCCCAAGCTTGTCCCAGATCAATAAAACCAACCACTCAAATTCAAAATTGGCTTGTTTTTTTTAACTCACCAAGCTCTCTAACCCAGTAGGAGGTCCAGTAACTCAATCACCTGTTCGAATCCACCTCCCACCTACTCTTCTCCACCCAACCAATCAAAAGCAAACGGGCATAACTTTCTTAACAAAGTCCAGCGTCCTCCAACAGACCCCAGCCCGAAGTATGGTATCCAGGTGCATCGCTGGCAGTAGCTACCCTCCCCGCATTCCGCCAACACTGCAAACCTCTAAATTGCACACCCCTCCCAAAATTCCACTTGACTCCTTAGAGTCGAAGTATCCGAAATCCCCAAAAACCCAACTCACGAAACTACCAAAACTTCCACGACATCGCCCCGTCACATCACAGCACCATCTAAACACCAACTAGCAACCACCACCGCGGGCTCTCCCTACAATCTTCCACCAGCCACGAAGCTGCCAGAACGCCAACACTGGCTCGTGGTGGGGGAGATGAGGGTTAGCCTGCCTGCTTGCAAAATGAGGAGACGATTCACGAACCCTGAACGGATGCTTCCACAGGAGGGATGGTAGCTTCACGAACGAACTGAATGTGCCTTGGAGGTAGCTGCGAATGATAATTGCAGAAGACGCATCCCGCGAAGGAGACGACGACGAGGGAGACGACGACGAGGGCGACGGCGACGAAGACGGAGCAACGGAACGCCAACGGTGGCCTCCGCATCGGAACGGGGGTTGAACCAAGTTGGTAGGAAGATAGGCGGGTAGGAAAGTACTCAAGGCGGTGGTTTTCCGACCCGGTGCCTGCCGTGTTCCGACCCGCCTCCTCCATGCCCGGTGGGCGGTGCATAATGTCCCCTGCATGCTTTTCAAAAGCGGCTCCCGCCAATTTTGCTGGACTCAGTTGATTGGTGACCGGAATTTGCTTTGAGAATCGAAACAGGGTCGGTGACTGGCCATGCAGAAGCCGGGCGGGAGTGTATTCCACGCGGTCTTGGGGCTTTCCACCCAACACTGAGTTCTCTCCCGTAGCTCCCTTCACCGAGTCACTGGATAACTCTTGGCCTCTGTGGTGTGGAGTTGAACATATTTGTAGAGCCTGCGCTATGTGGTGCATGTGTAGTGTGTTGCTTATGAGTTCGTTTCATTTTGACCTTTAATTGTCGAAACTATGGAATCAATCATATCGTTTTAAAATAATATCTGAAAACAAATCCCAAGTTCAATGATTTTTACACGTGCAAATTTTACGAAGAAAAAAAAAGCACCACGAAACACACACAAACAAAAGATTCTAAATTAACAAGAACTGGTGTGAACTAAATTTCTGAAGTCAGATAGCACAAGCTGTCTGAACGACAGAGGACACATAAAGGAAAACTAAATCCAAAATATCCAATAGAAAAGGCAACAAATAGAGACAGAGGCAAGAGAAAAGAGCAGGCGGCCAGAATGGAAGCATGACGGGCCGCAGCCATGAGAGCGGCGGCGTTGCGGACCCTTTGCTGGCGCTCTGGCGCACTTCACCAGGCCCACAGTCTCCCGTCCTGCACGCAGCGAGCACTCAAGTTCCTCTTTAGACGCACTGGACTTCGACGGTGTGTGGAATCCCACTTCCCGCAACTCACCCTCCTCACTCGCGCTTTTTGACCCCGGAATGTTGCTGCAACAGTGCATTCGTGACACCTGTATGAAAGAGCCGGATAAAGACGCCACTCTGCTCTGACTCTCCAATAGTCAACGATTAGGCATGAGCTGAGAGACGCCGTGCACGTATTCTAAAACTCGCGTCGATGACAGCGTCGTAGCCACACAAGCGAGTTTGTTCTGGTGTTGTGACTCATTGAGTCGTGGTTGTGGCGTTCTTCTCCGCGAGGCAGCAACCGTGGACGCGCTGCGGTTCGTGGGAATTCCCCGAAGTGTTCTATCGCCGGAAGAGGTGTGGTTTGCTTGTGTAATTTACTCTTTCCGCTTTTTCTCGACTTATATATTCATATGTTGTCGTGTGTGACGAGCCAGCGAGCGCCGCCGTTATGGCACTAGCGCCAACGATAGTGGCAGAAAGCAAGCAAGCACAGGATTGGCTGTGCAGCGACGAGAATCTACATCAGGGATTCTGGTGGAAGAAGCTGGAAGAAGATCCGCTGCGGTGGTAGCACAGATCGTGGCAGAGTGGGCGGGGACTCAAACCCGGTGGTGGTGGAATCCTCATCCTGGTGGTGCTTGCCGTGAGGATTGAAAAGCTTTCCTTCAATTCCGCATGCTTCATTTCCTCGCCGCCGCTGGTTTCTCGACTTCGCATTGTTGCAGTGTGTTGTGGTCCGTTCAGAAAAATAAGCAAGTTTTTATTTATTTCTTTATTTTATTTATTATTAACCTATGTATTTATTAGCCATGGTTTAAAGGTATGAAGGCATCTAATCTCCTTATATATACACTATGTCTATGTTTAGAAGAGAATCCAAAGTTTATTATTAGGAATTTCAAACATGGCAAATTACAAAACCAAATAATTTCACCACTTGATATTTCCAAGATCATTCAAAATATTCTCAGGATCATTCAAAATATCATATCCAAAATATTACCATTCAAATCTTGGTAGCCTTGATATTTGCTCCAATAAATATGTGACATTTATAATTTTATGAAATATCAAATAATATCAAGTCAACATAACATGTTGACTTAATTTTAACTATTATATTCTACATCCATCTTTTTTTTTTTCTTTTTTTTTTCTTATCTTTTCTTATTCCTTTGCCTACCTATATGCTTCCAAAGAAGAGCTCTAGCATTGCAAACTATAGCAAAGAAGGTCATTTTGAGGTATCCAAGTATGTTGCAATTGTTTCTTGGATAAAAAATCCAACAAACTTCCAAAAGTTGTATGGTTTATGCAAGATTGGGGTATGCAAAAAAAACAAATGTCAAAATCTATACCTCTACTACACATGCATGCTTTAGTAAAGAAAGCATCAAAGGATAAATTCAATCTTTCTACAATCAACATATTAGATTGACTATATATTTTTAAGGCCAAATAAGTGACTGCCTATGATGGGTCAATAGCGACTGACATTGGCATCAATGAAAAGGATCATAAGCAGGGTATATATATTGTAGTTGCAAAGTTAGAAGACATATGTCTATTCTTAAAAAGAATTTTTGTTTTGTATAATGTGAGGCTAAATATTGTCATATTATATGAAGTCTTGTTCAAGAATGCATTGAACACTTGGCTATAGAAGGTAGAATGGAAATTATAACAACAAAATCCTAATTCTAATAGAATATTGAATAAACTCTAATTAAACCTTAACAATGTTAAGCAAGTTTTAATCAAATTCAAAAGAAATCCACAATAAACTTTAAAAGAATCCATAAGAAATCCTAAAGAAATATTAGAATAATCACAAATATATCTTAAATAAATCTCAATCAAGTCCTAATTTAATCTTAGTTGAAGTTCTAAAGGACTTCAATCAAATCCTAGACCAAATCCTAAACCCTAAGCAAATCCTAAACTCTAAATCCTAAGAAAATTCTAAATCCTAAATCCTAAGTAAATCCTAACTCAAATCCTAAATCCTAGTCCAATCTTAAATCCTAACCAAACTTTAATGAAATCCTAAACATATCCTAAATTCTAAATCTTAAGCAAATCCTAAATCCTAAATCTTAAGCAAATCTTAAATCCTAAATTCTAAGCAAATTCTAATCTAAATCCTAAATTCTAATTCAATCCTAAATCCTAATTAAACTTTAATCAAATCCTAAATCCTAATCTAACTCTAATCCTAGACCAAATCCTAACCAAATCTAATCAACTCAACTTAATCTTAGTACAATTTAAAACCTCAATATCTATTGATTAAACTATCAATCTTATTTAAAATTTTACACACTTTTTAAAAACTAAATTAGTAACAAACACACAAAATTTGAAGATAATTGCTTTTACCAAATAGAAGAAAAACCCTGAAATTTGCTTGGGTATTGGCTAGACTCCTACTTCAATCTAAATGTTGAACTTCTAGTGCCAATATCTCTTTTTTAAATTATTCAATTGTTTTCAAATTTCGCATATGTATAGTAAATCAAGTCTATTATCCTCATATATAAATTTCACTCCAATCCAATTAGTAGATTGCTAAAGATCTTAGAAATCCTAACTGTCCTTCAAAGTCCAATTTCCAAGACTTCAACCTACTTGAAATTTAATAACCTTTAATTCAACTATTTGATCAAGCTCAAAATTACAACATATACTTTAGATATCTATTTTCATAAGTTCTCAAAATTTAAACTATAGATCTACTATCAAATTCACGAAATTCTCTAAAATATAATATCCTTTTTATTTCACAAATTCCAAAATCACCCAAAACAATTGTGACTTTGCAAAGCTCTTATAAAGTCACTACACACTTAAATCACTTAAAATCAATTTTTAAAGAAATTCTATTAAGTTTGCTCTCAAATCTTGCTTTCTAATCTACAAAAGAACCTTGAAGTAGTTATAGGTGCCCAGTTTTGTCCCTTAGGATCTGATTTCGACCCAAGTTTATTACCGGTCATCTCAGGGTATCAAATTTTGCCTTTTTGAGTTAATTTTTATTAAAATCAACTCCTAACTTCCTCCTACATATGCTCATATCTTTTATTTTTCTAATTTACCTTATTTTGCCTTATTATGGCCTTACAAAGTAAATAGAAGACTATTTTGTAAAAATATAGCATTTACACCTTTAGTTTTACTTTTCTTTGGACTATTGTCTATTTTCTAAGATAATTTGCTAGAATACTTGAATTAAGATCTTCTATAATATAATAATTTTTTTACCTCTTTTACATATTAGTCATATTACATCACAACAATGTGATCCTTCTTTGCAAGATAGATTCCATAGTCGTGTTATATTACCTAAAGTCTTGCTTGAGAATATGTCGGATACTTGACTATGGAAGATAAAAAGAAATTTTCAACAACAAGTCCTAACAACTATAATAGAATCATATATAAATTACAATTTAAGCTTAATAAATATAATAAAATCCAATTAAATTTTCAAATAAAATATAAAAGAAACACAAAGAAATCCTAAAGAAATTCAAAAGAAATCCTAAAGAAATTTTTAAAAAATCTAAAAGAATCTTTAAAAAAATCCTTATAAAATCTTTAAAGTTTTTAAAGAAATTTGAAAGAAATTCAAAAAATAAAAAATAAAAAATAAAATCCTAAAGAAATCTAAAAGTAATCTACAAGAATCTTAAAGAAATCCTTAAAAAAAATTAAAAAGATTCTAAAGTCTAAACCAAATCCTAATCAAATCTTATATCTTAAATAAAATCTTAACCAATTTCTAAATCCTAAATCAAACTCTAATCAATTTTTAAACAAATCCTAATCAAAACCTAACTAATTCAAATCAATTCAAACCAACTCTTATTGAAGTCTACCCAATTCAAATCAATCCTAGGGCAATTTTAGAACCCAATATCTATTGACTAAATTAATGATTTTACTTAAAATTTTATATACTTCACAATCTCTTAGTTAACAA